GATATTGCAATACCAGGTGATGCACAAATTGAAGATAAATAGCTAGAAAAAAAATGACAAAATATTGTGATTTGCAAATTGAAGTTGAGCGATTGTGGAGGAAGAAATCAATGGTTGTAACAATAGTAATAGGAGCCCTTACAGCAATACCCAAAGGGCTGCCTAGATGCATGGAAACTTATTAGACCTGAATATCCTGACTTTGCAAACCCCCCCCCCCAAAAAAAACCCCACCCACTCGAAATTGCCTATACACTCAGACATACCTAAATAGCCCTTAGGTCCTTGGTTAGAAATTGAACTGTTAAGTTTTTACCAGTCCCAGACTGTGAATTGAATTGAAGATTAAATCAATAACAACAACAACAACAACAACAATAATAATAATACATGCACTCTATACCAGCCATGGGCATTTTACAGCCTGGAGGCCACATCCAGCCCATGAGCTGGCTTGTGGCATTGGGGGCAGAGCATCAGCAACATCAACGATGAGGTGGTGATGGCAGAGGGCAGGGGAGGCTGGGGTGGCGGTGCAATGGGGGAAGGGTGGCAACAGCAGCATTGGGGCTGGGAGATCTGTAGCAGGGGGAGGTGAGGTTGGCCCTCCGCAACAGTCCCAGTTTGTCATGTGGCACCTTGGGAAAATTAATTGCCACCCTTCCTCTATACACAGATATATATATATATTGACGAATAGAGAATTTGAATGTACTACCAGAAAAAGAGCCTATTTTTATTTATAGTAGGGCTACCATATCTGTAAAAATCCAGATGGCCACTAGATGGCATGGTTTTACAATCAGATCTGAAATCCCCATGAAAATAGGTGGAAAGAATGGAGATTAAATTAACACCTTTGCTCTTTGCTATTTATTTTTTAAAATCTTGTTAGGATTGATTAACATATGCATAGAAGAACTAAAGGGCTAGAATTAGTTAACTGTTTACTTGGTTTACCCAGTAAACCCTGCTCCTTTGTAATGAATCTGGTGAGAAGGTGAGGAAAAAGGTAAGAATATGCATAGGGCCATTGATAAAACATTATTCTCATACTACATCATGTAACTCTTGGAAGTGCTAAAAAGCTGCATATTAGATTTCCTTACTGAGAACCAGCTTTACTGAATTCAGAGTATTTACTATATAGGGGTGACAAGAAATAGAGTTAAGACAAAGTTTAAATGAAAAGCTACTATGCAGTATAACCTTTTTACTAACACTACTAAACAATTCTCTCAGATGCTGCAATTCTAGATTTTACCTGGGAGTAACTTTCATTGAATTCAGTGGGATATTTTTTTTTTCAAAAAAAAAAACGAATGACATTCCTTCTGTGGAAAGTTGATCAACCACAAGTTTATTTCTTCTGGCCAATAAAGCACTTGCATTAGGAAGTATTATACCTTTCTTAAATTGGATAAATTATTGTTACAGAGGGTGGTTCACCACTGAACCTAGGGACCAGATGAGCCCATTAATTGCTGTATACCTAGTGAGTGAATTTGAGAAACTTACTCATTCGTTTATTTAACCATGGTTTATTGAATTAGCTCAGTAGATCTACATAGTTCACACAAGAAATAGTATAGACTAACCTATATGTGTACATTACCATAAGACATAAATTAGTCAGATAACATTTTTTATCAGTACATTCTACTCATTCATTCTTTCTTGTGTAGGATGTAAGGAGCTAATATTTTCCAGAGCAGCTTACTTTACAGAGTGCAACTAATATCTGGTTTCTTGGTATCTGAGCTACTAGATTCACAATAGATTTTGGGGGTGGGGTTGTCTTCGAGTCAGACTTAGGTAAGTCTCTAGGCTTTTTTGCAACTTTTTCACAAGTGGTTTTCCATGGCCTTTTTATTCCTGGGCTGAGAATAACTGATTTGGTCCAAGGTTGCCAAGTTGACTTTGTGCATAAGGTGGGAATACTAACCGTATCCTGGTTTCTAGCCTGGTCCTTTAATCAGTACAGCAAATTGGCTCTCTATAGTTTAGTATAGATCCATTCATTATTAAAAATCTATTCATTATTATTGCCCCAATTACCTACAACTAACTACATAGGAAAATTTGTATTTTAAAAATTCTTTATTAGGTCAAGCCCTTTTTATGCAAATAGATGATTTCTTCCTGGTTTTTTGTTTGCTTCTCCTCTTTCTGTTTCAATCAGGTTGCTTCTGTAGAGCCATAAGTATCTGAAGAAATTTTTCTGGAAGCAGGTTGAGTTGCATAGTAGAAAGGCATTGTGCTTTGCATGTGAAACACTGGTTGTTGCATTGCTGTGCATTTCCCTTGGTTGTTTTTTGTGAATTAGTATCATTTTCCAAGACAAAAACACACAACATTATTGATTTTAGTAGATTACAATCTTTATACCTTTTTAAAAGAATACATGAGAAAATACTGATTTCTGAGCAGCTGCATGCCATATTGCCTATGAATCAAGGTTTGCTGTGGTGGCACAGTGGTTAGAATGCAGTAGTGCAGGCTACTTCTGCTGACTTCCGACTACCAGCAGTTTGGCAGTTCAGTTCTCATTGGCTAAAGGTTGACTCAGCCTTCCATCTTTCCGAGGTCAGTAAAATGAGGACCCAGATTGTTGGGGGCAGTAGGCTGACCCTGTAAACCACTTAGAGAGGGCTGTAAAGCACTGTGAAGTGGTATATAAGTCTAAATGCTATTGCTATTTGCTCAAAGACAGAGAAAGACATAGATAGTAAGCACAAGGAAAATATGCTGCTTTCCTGAATATTCACTTAAAAAATATACATATATACCACATATACTCAAAAACCTGAGGATAATTATCTGGGTTGTCACATTTAACAGGATTGCAAATTCAGAATGTAATTACTTTATTTTTTGTTTGTGCCTTCCTCCACCATGAGATCTGTACTCCTTTTTACATCATATAGTCTATCTAAGCATTCAGGTTTTCTTCAGTAATAAGTATAATTTCTATACGAAAGCAGATTTGTATTCACATTCTCAACTATCACACTTCCAATATCACCACAGCAATTCTTATATGGTTACCTATAAATATATTAAAGAATAAATGGCACAAAGTAGATCCTTGTGTTACTCCTTGTTCAACCTTGAACTTTTCATTAACCATTCCATTTGTTCTTGCTCATAGTCTACTAATATTACACTGATTGCGTTTAGCAACCAACCTTCAACTACGTACTCATGCATAACATTCCACAATTTAATAAACAATTTATAATACGCATAATAGGCATACGTACAATAAACATAATTTATCATGAATTCTTTTTAAATCAACAAAGGAATAATAATTTTTCTTTTACATTTGTGTACTTCTTAATGAATTGCTGAAGAGCAAAACTCTGGGTTGCTAGCCCCTTCGCTATAGCTCCCAAATTTTGCTCATGGTTATTCTTCATTTTCCCCCCATTAAAATTATTTCTCTTAAAAATTCACACTGGGCAAAAATGTTTTGTTGTGGAATAATGTCTAGAAATTAGCTCATTAGTACAATAATATGAGAGTACTGAAAAAAATGTAAAAATCCAATACTTTCAGAAAATGTTTTATTTTTCATATTGCATCACTGGTAAATATTTTCCTTTGTTTCTCTATTAGATGTATCTGGAAACTTTTTGGAACTCAAAAGATACTAACATAAATATTTTGATTAACTATATATCAAATTTGTATTTTAATAGATAATGTATACAACTACATTTGTATACAAAAGAAAATAATAAAATGCCCACCAAATAGAATGAGTAGATAACTAAAAAAGAATAGGAATTTCCTAACTCGTTCATTTAATTTCCAACTATGATATTGGATTCTTGATGGTGAGTCGAAATCTTCTTTTTTGTTGCTGGTGTTGAGGCTCAGCTACAATAATTGTCAGTTCCAGTGTTTGTTTATACAATCCCATTATCCTTTCTAGAGAAGCTTTTGATGGTGGCTTGTTGTCTGCATGATCCTCATTGGCTAGGGCTTTTAAAGTGTTATTCTGCTATGACTTCTGGTCAAACCTTTAAAATTTATTTGTTTAATTAGGCCTCATTTTCGTTTTAAAAAGCGGTTTCAAGTCAGGTGGGAGATGATTACTTTATTAAATTCATTGTTTCTGCTTCTATGTATGTATTATATATTGGTTAACAACATAGAGAGGATGGGATCACAGATAAGCTTGGGCATCCAGCAACTAAAAGCCAAGAAGGAAAAACACAGTCGTCACGATGAAGGATCAGTAGGCAAAACCAATAGTAGTTGGGAAGATGAATCCGCCACCCGTTTATCAGCTTTATATCTTACAGAGGGTATTTTGCCCAGTGGTGGGATTCAAATGTATGAACAACCAGTTCTCTGTGTGGATGCCGCTTCCAGAAGTCCTTTCTGGGCCTGGGCAACAAAAAATTAGCTACCAGTTCTGCCAAAGTGATGCGAACTGGCTGAATCCCACTGATTTTGCCCCTTTTATAGGTAAAATTGGTATAGATAAAGGTTATAAATATAAAATATTTCCAAACCGCTTCTGAAGCTACCACAGTTTATTCTTTGCCATAAGATATTGTGATGACTACTATTTTTGATGGAGATTAGATAAATGTATGGACTATAGGACTAAGCAATTTTCTGAGTACCCTAAATCCTGCTAGAACTACCAGGCTTACATTAATGGCATGTTTTATGAAGCTGATAGAAACTTTTGAATTTTAGAGATGGAGGAATTTTTGGTGGATACAGCTATTAATTATTCACTGAAATGTGGAGACAGCTTAATTGCTCCTAAGCATAGAATTCTTAAAATCCTGATTTATGCCCAGGCTAAAGGCCATTAAGGCCATGAGTTTAGGTTTAACATATATTTTTTTTCTTCTCAATCTATTTGCATCGTATGGTCTAATTCTTCTTTTACTATTTAACACTATATATTTCTTTTTCTCTCTCTTTCTACATTTATCTTTTATAAAATTTGCTAATTACAGTAAATTGTCTTTTAGGTTTTCCTTAGGAGATGCTCGCAGGCCCCTACATGAATCAGCAATATTGGTTGAAGACATTGTCCACACTCAACTGATTAATTTGGTAAGGTTTTTGTTGCTGTTGTTGTTGTTGAGGTTGAACAAGTGAAAACAGAAGATCAACAGTTTTAGTGAAATATCTGTATCTGATAAAGTGAGACCAGTGTAATGATATATAGCCCATTTTATGAATATCACTAACCAGTTAGGATAGGCAATCTCCATTTGCTACATTTCGGAACCCAGAAGTAAAGCTATCAGATATTACCCATTCCTGATGCCATGAGTGTGCAATACCTTTGCCTTGTTGTATTACGAAGTCTATACAACAACTGAGGAAAAAAAACTGAACCCAATATATATCTTCTTTCGGTGTTCTGAGGGAATTAAAGTATACAGAAAATGATGAGTGGATATATTTTTATTTAATAAAAAATAAAATTATGTCATGTTTGCATGCTCCAAATTTGAACATTGAAGACACACTGTGGAATGCATTTTTAAATATGGCTGCCATTATAGTTTGGTATGAAATCTATATTTAGCCTTAGATAATATTTTAAGTACTATAAAACAGTATTTTAAAAGTATTTTGCAGTTTTGTGAACTGCTTATAAATACTAATAAAGTTAAATATTTTTATTTATAAATGAATAATATGAGTTGTAATTGTGTGTTGCTCCTAGATTTGTTTAAAATGACCCATGTACTAAATTCATTATCAGAAATTAGCTGTCAGTTAACATGTGGCAAATACTGCTTAACTACTTTTAGAAAATTATTTGCTAATGTCACTTCTTGCCAGTAGGGCATCATAAAAAGTCCTTGTTTTATGTGATTATTTTAAAAAATAATTTTCTAAAATAATTTTCTAATATTTGGTTAGGAATTGGATCTTCAGTCTTAATAAACACCTGTCTTAGTCCAATAGTACAGAAGTCTGGAAGCACAGAAATTGAATAAAAAGCCATATTTTTCTTTGACAGAATATCAGAACATTAGGAATTGGAGTGGTGTGGTGGCGTAAAGGTAAAGACCATCACCTCCCACTTGGAAGGTTGAGAGTTCAGTCCTAGGCACTGGCAGATGGTTCTCTATCAGGGCTTAAAGAGAAAATATCTGCTGCGAACTTTGTGTAGGTGTCAGGAAAGGCATCTGGCCAGTAAACGCTTAGCTCCATTCAGTTGCCCCGACTCCACACCGAATAAAGGGATTAAAGGGTCATAAAAAGAAAGAAAAAAAAAACAGAGCATTAGGAAGTAGCATTAATTGTTATGTTACTATTTAACATAATAATGCAAGAAATAAGAATTTTATAAAAATGTGTGCTCTATAGCTAACAATAACTTTTAAAAATTTCAAATATCTTTAAATGTTCCTTTTAATGGAACATTAGTACAGATGGGAAATTTTTTTACCTAGTTATCTCCTGTCTTAGAAGGCATGGTCAAAATAGAATATAAATTCTGTTTAATACCAAATACATTTTATTGTTTAGTTGTATTATGAACCACACATATTTTATTAAATTATAACTTTACATGTTTTACTTTCTCTTTGTTCCTTGATTTATCACTGTTTAGATATGAGTGAACACTTGATACTTGCAAATGCATTTTTTTCTGTATTGCCACAAGAGATTAGTCAACAAGAAAATTTAGCTGATACTGCTTTTTCCTGAAGATAGCAGTTTACAATTTATAGCAGCTAACTAAAAAACCTCATTCCTTTCCATCTCCAAAATCAACAATTTCAAATTTGTTTGATAAGCTAAATCTTTGATAGGTAGATATTGTCCCTGATTCCAGATTGCATGAGGAAACTTTGTAGATTGGATACTCCCATCTCTGTGTCCCAAATATGAGTTCCAGAGAACTGAGAGATCTTCTGAAACAGACAGAGAGATGAATTGCTTAGTTTTCTAATAAAATAAATCTTTAAAAAAAAATTCTGGGTTTTATTTTTGAGACAGCTACTCTTACTTTCTTGTTGCAAATTTATTATAGATCAGGATTTGCACTTTGTAGCGACAGCTGTAGAAAACACTGGCTTTGCTCTTCTTTTGTCCAGTTAAGGCAGGGAAGAATCCTGGAATTTTATTTGAATACAAGCAAAATCAGTCTTATATGCTTTGTGTGTGCAAAACAACCTTTGACCCTTTCCCTCAAATTTAACTGTGAGTTTTAAGGGATTATGACCCTGAGTTTGAAAACTGCATATCAGATCATATCCATCCATCCATCCATCCATCCATCCATCCATCCATAAGGACTACTACTTCCTGATGCTGTGATAAAGTTGCATACAAATTCTCATCAAAGAACTGAAATTTGCTGGGCCTGAGAATGATTTAATGGGATAAAACAGGTGCATTATGCCTTGCAGAAACTGCATTTGTTTTGCTCTTTGTTTTGCTGGTAAATACAAACAATTATCCGGAGGGGGGGGGGAAAGGGGGAGGTGTTATGGAATGCCAAGTGCTCATTCTGACCTGTGCAGGAGAACAGAAATACTATAGGAGAATAAAACCATAATAAAAATAAAATTTAGAAGTTGCAGGTTATTTTAAAACTCAGTCACAAGTTTCTTGGATTTTCATAGCCCAAGCAGCAAGAGAGAGAACAGTCTTTCCTTTCTTGAATCTAAAGGTCATCACTGAATGTTTAAAATTCAAAGTGTTACCTATTTTTATGCATTGCTTTAAATTTATATTTTATTCTACAAAATAAAAATGACAATTTTTAAAAATTCTGCTAAGTTGTGGCTAACTTATGAAAGCAGTTTCAAGAGAAGGTGTGTATGTGAATAAGTGATGATGACTGTGAAATAAAAAGTTGGATACTAATGCTGATTTAGTAGCAATTCCGCATAAAACAACTATTTTTAAAAACTTGCCAATTTTAGTCTAAGCTAAAATTCTGCCAGACTACAATCCTTGTGCTAAGAAATCAGTTATATTTAAAGTAACATCAACATTTCTATTTTTTCAATAAATGATAATTCCACATGGACCATTTTGCATAGTCAAGGGTATTCCAACCACATATGCCCGTACCAGTCCCGTGTCAGTCCAGATAAATTAATCTGATCAGTAGCAATTACACGTTCCAAATTACCAACTGCAATACTCAAATCCGATGCCAGTTATTAAGGAACTTTTATAGAGTTACAGTTGGAATGGTCAGCTGCCATCTGAATATATCTTTGACAAGTATTGATGGAATAAATTAATGCCTAATGTTATAAGGTATTTTGATATATTTTAACAACCACTTCAGTGGCATTTAATAGAGAGAAATCATTGCGGCTTCTAATACTTATCTGATTTCAAGTGAACCTGATGGTTTGGGAATCAGTTTTCTAAGGAAGGTTGGCTTGTTAACAGTATTATGCAGTTACAAGTAAATGTGGTTACAGCTGGTTCTGGTTTTTTAGCTTATCCACCTGATTGGAAGCAACAGGGTTTTTTTCCCCTCATTTCTTACACTGACACCTAGTGTTCACTCTTTCCGTGCATTCTAATACTTAGCCCAATTTACTCATCTACTTAGAAGTAAACCAATGCAAACAGATATTTGGAAATGTAATCCATTTCATGCTATTAATGAGTTGCTGACAAGACAATACCTTCCTTAAAACATTTCTATCACAAATAATCAGAACAATTTGCTATTCTACAATGCATTCCTGTTAGCAATAAGTATAAGAGTTTTTATGCAGATATAAAAAAATGGTATAATCGGAGTTCCTGGAGGTTAGGCAAGAAGAAGTAAACACATTACTATCTATCAATGTGTAATTTTATTAAGAATTTTGTTCATAATATAAATTTTAATGCAAACTAAACTTACAGAAAGAAAAGAAAATAGAAGTAAAAAGTGCAAAGAAATAGAAAAAGAGAAGTGACTTTAAACATTCATCTCAACAAGTATAAAAAATTTAGTGATCTTCACTCTCTCTAAAGTTAGTTAGAAAAACGAAACATTTCCAGTTCTGCAGAAGTTTGCTGAGGGAAGGCTTTCTTGAAACCTTTCAAGGACATTCTAGCAGGTGTGTAGAAGATAGCAGACTGTTCTCATAAACAAAGAGAATTTGTTTACATGAGCTACGCGGACATCTGGGGGGTTTGGCTGGGAATGTCATTGTTATATGCTATGGTTAGATGCCTTGGGATTTTAGAATTAGTTTTCCTTTGTCTATACCACAGGTCGGCAACCTGCGGCTCCGGAGCTGCATGCGGCTCTTTGAGCCTTCTCCTGTGGCTCCCAGCCTCCTCTGTCATTTGCAGAGAGAGAGAGACAGAGACAAGAGAGAGGCACTTGCGCTTCCCTGCTTCTCTCTCTCTCTCTCTGTGTGTGTGTCTGTGTATGTTTGTGTGTGTGTGTGTGTAAAAGAGTGGACTCATGGTGTTCTCTGACAAGTTGAAAAGCTTTTTGGGCAGGGCTCCTCCCTTTGCTGCGTTTCTGCAGGAAGCAGGAAGGGCAGGAGAGAGCTAGCTAGCCCAGCTATGCTGACTCAGGAATTCTAGGAGTTGAAGTCCATGAGTCATAAAAGAGCCGAGGTTGCCTACCCTTGAGCTTGTTGGAGAACAGCTTGAAGCCAGCTTGCCAGGTGAGCAGAAGATTGGAGGGGGGGGGGAAAGAAAGAGAGAAAGAGAGAGAGAAAGGAAAGAGAGAGAGAGAGAGAGAGAGTGGGGGAAGAGGACTGGCAGACCAAGGGCAGAAAGAGAGAGAGGGAGAGGAAGAAAGAGACAGAGAGAGACCCTTTTTTTTTCAAAAAAGTTTTTATTTTCCAATTATCAATTACGTAAACAAAAAAGAAGAAATTTCACATTTAACAAGATAAAGTAAATACACCTAGATGTCGCCTGCCCACCCCCCCCGAAACTGCATCCGCCCTCTCTTGTACTCTCCCTTACTTCCCTCCTCCTTCTCCCTCCCCTCACCTCTCTCTCCCTTCCCCCTCTCCTCTCACCATCCTACTTCCTCCCAAGCCTTTCTCCTCCTCTCTCTCTCCCCTCCCCCTGTCCTCTCACCATCCTACTTCCTCCCTAACCTTTCTCCT